ATGCAGGCATCTGTATTCTATCCCACAGTGGCCTTGGCAATTGAAAGCCTCTGTTGCAGGGACAAAGTATCAATCCTTGTACTATAGGTGCTATACCACTGGTCCCTTTCTCTGTCCTCCCCAAACATACATATGCATGCACTTGTTCATGTATATATGCACACATGTATGTACACATGCTGGTACACATGTGTATAAACACATGCATTTGTGTATGTAGCACTTTTAAATTTTAACTTATTTTTGGTGCTGGTAATTGAACCCAAGGCCTTGTCCATGCTTAATGCATGCTCTTAATACTGAGTTACACTCCCTTTTTAAGGATTTTTAACTTATTTTTGAACAGATAATATAGTGACATGGTACAAACATTTAAAAGTATATGATGTATAAAAAATAAAGGTAAAAAAATCTCTCTCCCACCTTTGACCTCAGACCTCAGAGTCCCCTCATGTGTTAACCCATCCTATCAACTTTTAGGAATTCTTTCAGAGTTATTCTGTGCACACACAGGCAAATCTATACCCATATTTGTTTTATTTTTCACACAAATGGTATACACACTGCTGTATACCATTTTATTTTGGGGGTGGAAATACAAGGATGGGGAAAACAATAACACAAGACCAAACATATTTTGATTCTCTTCTTGGTGAACAGATCTGTTTTCTTCAGGTTTTGCTCATAGTTTACTCTGTCGTGGATGCCAGACATCAATTCTTAGGTGCTGGGGTGCAAAACAAGGTGATATAGGCCATTTTTCTCTACCTGTCTCACAGGCTGTTGGTTATCTGGCCTGTCTGAGCTGCTTCTGGCACATTCCATGGGCTCCTCACTTTCTTCCCTATGGGGCAAAACAGTGATCCATTGTACATACCTAGGCATGTCTAGATCCAGTTTTGGACTGATGTTATAGTGTGTGAATTGGCACAAGCCAGGTAATCAGGATCTGTTGTGAATGATGGCACACATTCATTCCAAAAGTGCTCACTGCTAGCTCAGTATCAAGGCTCCGCAGGATGCAATTAGAGGGATTTCAAAAGACCTCCACTCTCCCTTACACCATAACACTCCAGCCAGACTATAACATTAGTTTTCCTTTACTTCCCCTTTGACCATATTCTTTAGCGTATAATTCAGAAATCAATGCATCTTTTATCTTTAATCCCATAGCAAAAGGGTTTCATTCTGGTTGGTCTCGAATAGCAGAATAATTTTTATGTAATGGAATGGCAAAGTTTTTTGGTCATCAGATACATAATTGAATGGAATTCTGTGTGCATGACATCTTATGCAATTAAGATTATACTATTAGAATGTAAGCCTCAGAGGTAGGGCATGGTGGTGTAATTTTTGTGCATTTCCTTAATGCCTGCTCTGCTTGTCGCTTTTCTTTTGCTGTGACAAAATACCTGAGAAAGTCAACAAAGGGAGGAGCTATTTATTTTGACTCAGTTTCAGTGTATGGTTGGTTGGGTCCTTGGGGTTTTGTTTTTTTTTTTTTTTGGTTTGGTGGCACTGGTGTTTGAACTCAAGGCCTCCCTCTTGCTAGGCAGGCACTCTACCACTTAAGCCACTCCACCAGCCTGGTTGGGTCCTTGACTATTGATGTAGAACATCATGATGGGGAGGAGTGGCAGAGCAAAACTGCTCACCTCATGGCAGCTAGGAAGCAGAACCAGAGAGGGATGAGAGGAAGGGTCTGGGGACAAGATGTACACTTCAAAGTCATGCCTCCAGTGACCTACTTTCTCTACCAGTCCACCTTTCAACAGCCCATTCAATTATGAGCCCCATCAATGGATTAATCCATTGATGAACACCCCCTGATCCCATCATCTCTTAATAGTGTCACCAAGCCTTCAACATGCGATCCTTGTGGGGGAACACTTCATATTCTAACCATAGCACATGCCTTTTTAAGAAAACACCAAAGAGTTTACTGAGATATAATATACCTACATATAGTCTATAATTTAAACATATCACTCAATGTTTTTAGTACATTTAGTACAACCATCATCATAATCAAATCAGAATATTTTCATCACCCTGAAAGAAAGCTTAGACATTTTAGCAGTCACTACCCACCCTTATCAACCACCACTGTCCCACTGCCTAACCCTAGACAACCACTGATCTACTTCCTGTTTTTATAGGTTTGCCAATTCTGGACGTTTTATATAAGTAGAACCATATGACAACATATGGTCATTTACAATTTCTTTCATTTATATTTTTGAGGTTGATCTATGTTAGTATGTAGTGATACATTTCTTTTGTTGCCAAATAATATTTCATTGTATGGAATGTACATGTATGATGATATTATTTATTCTTCAGGCTTTGAACATATGGGCTGTTTTAATTTTTAACTATTATAAATAATGTTGCAATGAACATTTATGTAAAAGCCTTTTTATGAATACATGCTTTCAGGTTCCATGAGCATATATTCTAGGAGTTGAATTGTGTAACTTCATGTTTTACATTTTTAGGAACTTCCATGCCACTTTTCCAAAGTGGCTGTGCCATTTTATAATTCCATCAGTGTGCGTGAGGATTTTAGCTTCTCTACATCCTCATGAAAAATTTATTGTCTGCCTTTTTTTTTTATTATAACTATTTTCATGGTTGTGAAGTGGCATCTTGTTGTGGCTTTGATTTGCAGGTCCTTGGTGATAAATCATGTTAGAGATCTTTTCATATGCTTAGACTTTTGTATGTATTTTTGTGAGAAATGTCTATTAAAATTACTTATCAATCTTAACTGGAGTATTTGCTTCTTTATTACTGAGTTGTAAGAGTTCTTTATATTTTCTGTATATTAGACTTTTATCAGATATATGATTTACAATTATTTTCTCCTGTTCTCTGTGTTGTCTTTCTTCAGATATATTATGAAGCAAAGAAGTTTTTAAATTTGACCAAGTACAGTTTATCTGTTTTTCTTGATCTCATATGATTTTGATGTAGTTTATAATTTTAGCCTTTTACACTTATGTTTATGGTCCATTCTGAGTTAATTTTTTTGAGTGATTTGAAGGTGGCCAGTTTCTTTCTTATAGGGATATATATAATTTAACATATGCAAATGAATACTCAACAAGTAAATAATTGCCTCCTTTAAAAATCACCTTAGATCTTTAATTCTCTCCCTAATACTCTGTTTAGATTGATGAAGGATAAAATAAGCTCTACACAGGAAAAAAATGTAGGCTTCAAGTGACATTTTATGTGATACATCAAATTCATTCATAAAAAATGGTTCTTAGAATAGATTTTAACATTTATTTTGCTAAATTTCTTCTGTCATGCCACAAAGGGACTTATTTCCATTCCATAACAAGAATGGGAATCCTCTCTGAGTCACTTCTTTGTTGCAGTGTGTAGAATTACTTATTTGGTTATTCCTATATTGAGTTCATTCAGAAAAGTTTCTCCACTTGAATGGCAACAAAACACTTTTAGAATGAATAAAACAAAAAATAAGTATAATTTTAACTGCTTTGGGAAAATACAGTTATTTATTTGTTCTTATTTTTGTTTTTACCAGATTATATGATTTAAACTCTTATATACAGTTAGAAAGTATTAAGTCATTTAAATACAGATATTGAAAAAGGTCCAACTTTATTCTCACAGAAAGGAAACAGATATTTTCTAAGGGAAATACATATCTATTAAATAAATTTTAATACTGTTCTTTTACCTTGAACAGAATTAAAACAGAAAATTGATGGAACTTAAGATGTCATTTTTTTTCTCAAAAAATTCTCAATTTTTGAGCCTGAACCCAGGACCTTGTACATGCTAGGCAAGTGCTCCACCACTGAGCTGCATCCTTAGCCCCAACAGGACAAATTTTAAAGAAAGAGGATAGTGACATTTACATGTTGCAAAATTAACTATTGAACATACAAATGCAGTTGACATATATGTTAAAGATGCACTTAAAATGACTTGAATAGATAATTTTTGGTGAAGTTATTCCATGTAAATGGCTTTATGTTTGAATACATCAAACTTTACCTGTAGAGTCAACAGAGCTCACTGTATTATCAATATTATGTATTCAAGTCCAATTGTCTGCATGGGTTCCAGATGGCTATCCAGGGAAAACAAAGACATTGCACCACCAACAGCAATGCATCATAAATCAACTTAGCCTTCACTTGCCTAGCATTCCGTGTGCAAAAGATGTTCTCTCAGCTATTGATGACCTCTAACCCCAAAAAGTTTTGGTCTAGTACTTCAATGAACTTTAACACCCCCCACCCATACCCTAACCTTTCGATCTGTCTTTCTACCTAATTATTTAATTCTTTTAAAAGATGAGTCATGAGGTTTTCATCCTCATGACTCATTTCATCCTGGTTTTCATCCTGGCTTCACATCCATTATAACAACTGGGAGTGATTTTGCTATAATTTATTTTCCTTGGCAGTCATGGAGGCAGGGTGAGGTGGACGTGGCAATTATCCTCAAAATACTAATGGATAGGAAGCAATTATGCCAGTGAGTGTGGACTTCAGCAAGCTTGCTCTACTTTATTTCAACATGGGGATTATTTTGTTGTATTAGGTCCTTTTGTGTGATGTTAACTTGTTCATTTAGGAGAAAGAAATCAGAAAACTCCAGGGGTGGAATTAAGCTTGATGAATTAGCACTGCTTTTGAGAAGTAGTGAAGCAAAAAGCAAAACAAATTTAACAAAATGATCTTTGAAATGATTAAAATTAATTACAACCTCTGGCAAGGTTGGCTCACATGTTCTCTCCTTCAGTTCAACTCAGCTTGCCAAGATTTATGATCAAACTCACCATTGTATTCTACCTTACCTTCTCTAGTTCTGCCTTGTTTCTCCCAGGTGGGCTGCCCTATGCTTTAGAACCCCATGCTGTTCTCCTGTAGCCTCTGAATTATTTTAGCTTAATTCTATGTGCCAACTCATCTTACTCTGGTTGCTTTCTGATAGCTTAGGTTCTCATTTCTTTTCAGTTACGAACTGAATTTGAAAAGGCAACTTGAAGCCAGAGAAGAGAGCAGGATATTGCCATGACAAGCTCTTGGAAGAATTATTTTAGGACGGGTATGTTCTTGTTTTCCATGAAGCCAATCTCCTATGAGTTACATGAAGCCAATCTACAATGAATAAAGCCAGATAGACTGAGAGTTAATGACACATACCCTTGTTCAAAAATCCTTTTAAATATCCAGTAAAAGGCTATTAAACAAAATTGCTGAGAAAATTTTCTCTCACTTCAATGAGTCTTTCTAAATACTTTAGATCTTTGAGAACAGTTCATAAACATGAAAGCATCATACTTGTGCTCCTTCTAGTTGAGAACTTATGACAGACATTGCCTGTACTACCTTCATTCCCATGCTATTTTCTAATTCTAGGTAACTTTGAAATAATAGTTTTCTCTATCAGCACACCGGCATTTAACAATTATGTTAGTGATGAGTGTCTAAGAGAATAGCGTTTTTGATGGTCTGTATTAACATCACCAGTTGCAGCTGTTGTCACAGATGTTCACCAGCACCCCCAGCCATAAGGTGTGGCTTTGGGTCTGAAAGCTCACCTATATTTTAGAGAAAATGACATAACATATAGAGAAATAGAAGAACGAATTTATTTATAGTTTTGGCCAAAACTGGGATGAGAGAAACTCTCAACCTTTCTCTGCCTTGCCCAACAGCAGTGTCACAACTTACAGAAAAGTTGAAACAAAAGTCAGGAGATCATCTTTCTCCTGGGATATGAGTCTTTCTTCTGGGCCCTGGGCTCCTGCTCCTAGCATGGACTTTCTTAGGGAAATCCTAATTCCTGAGCCTCCCACTACAGTAGGTACCTGCAGTTAATAGTGAAGTCCCCAAACCATAGAATTGGATTAGTTTCTGGATAATAAAAAGAAGCCTCAAGAGGACCAAGTTACAGAGAAAACGAGGATCTAGAGGCTAGGCCTCTGATTTACAGCCTAAACAAGGGAAGTAGTTTGAGTCTCCTTCTTGTCCCACGAACATTTTGTGTTGGCCTCCACACCTGCATTTTTTAACAAAGCCCTGCTTTTGCCTCTGGACTAAATTGATTGTGCATGATGATTGGGAGGGAGCTCAAGTTCTATGGAAAATGAAAATCCTCATGTTTTTCGCCAGGAAGATTTGGGGACAGTAAAGTAGTTGCACATGAGAAGAGGATTATGCAGTACAGAAGAATCTATAAATCATGGCCTCCATCTTTAAGATTAGAAAATAATCTTCAAGGAAAATCAGGGCCATAATTGATTTCCAAAAGCTTATTTTATGGCTAATTCTAGACTTATTCAGTATGTTTTATTATAAAGTTATTTGTGGGCTCATCACAAATATAGTATCTAAGCAATCAGGGAACACTGTTAGAGTGGAAATATTCTCTTAAAAATTTCACTAGCAAATACTATTAATTTGGGAAAATATCACCTATTAGCCTCTGAAAATTAAAACGCATTTATATGCAACCATATATGTAACATCAATACAATCATTGCAGATGAAACTAAAGCTCATCATGACTATATCCATAACCACTTTTCAGAAATGACAGCTATTATCATAACAGTTGGAATTCTTTCAGAACTACTTGTAGGGCATTTCCATGCACATTTATATCTGTGAAATGTATGATACTGATTGCTCTTCTTTTAAGTTTAAGTTGTAACATAGGGTAACAAACTTTTTGACAATTTTCTTTTTGTTTTCTTCCTAAATATATTTAGTGGGTGATTTTGTTTATGTTACTAATATAGTAGATGTATTATGGTTTATTTAACAATTCCTCTGTTTCTAGACATTCTGGTTATTAGATCTCTTTTTTTTGTGGAACTGGGGATTGACCCCAGGGCCTCATACATGCTAGGCTAGCACTTTGCCTCTTGAACCATGCACTTAAGCTCATTTTTGTTTTTCTATTTTGTTTCTGAGATAGGATCTCACTAACTTTTCTCAGGATGGCCTCCAATTCAGCATCATCCTGTCTCTGCCTCCTGTGTAGCTGGGGTTGCAGGTATGAACCACCTTGCCCAACTCTTTTTTCTTTTTGTACAACTTTAATGAGCTGTAATTAACCAATAGTGAACTGCACATATTAAGTGCATAATTTCATATGTGTTGATTCATATATTATCTGTAGTTCTTAAGCACCATAAATAATGCAGCAGCTTACCTCTCTGTATATGGTTCTTTGTTCTTATGTACAAGTGTTTCTCTGGTGTATACAGAAAGTTGTTAAGTCTTACCATGAACCCACTGATGTGGAGGCTAGGCAAAGGTTTAGGAAACCTGATGGCTCAGAACCATGGCTTAGATGTTGATGAGGAATCACATTTTGGATTGCTGACATTAACATGCAGCAGGATCTTGCTGACATGCAGTCCCTGGAACCCACAGAAAATGGCTGACCTGTGGGAGGAGTTGATGACATGTAGCCCAGTCTCTGAGAGTTAATGAAATATAACCCAGTTTTCTAAGACTGGCCCTACCCCATCTCTGTAGACTCCAACAAAACTTGTGGTCTCAGGACCTCCAGTGCAGTGCTCCCTCTTAAGTCTGTCCACTCTCCTGGTGGAGGTTGCGGCTTTGCTTTGTTTTCACTTTGCTTTGCATTAGTAAACTTCTTGCTTCTCTTATTTGCTTATCTTGGTAAATTCTCTTACTGACCTATGGCACCAAAAGTCCCTGACACACACTATGTTATTTTAACAGATACTGAAGATTTCTCCTTCCAGGGATAGCATCACAGAGAATATGTATGAGAAAAAAACATTTCCTTCATTTTGGACCATTTTTGGTATTCAAAAATTTTGTAAATGGTGACAAATTTGTGTTTCTCTTGATGTTAAACAAAAAAGATTTTGCTACTCACTATTATGTGTAATGTTTTCTATAGATTTTAATAGAATGGGATATTCCCTGTTAATCCTGGTTTGCTAAGAGCTTTTTTTCTATGAATAAACATTTAAGTTTATTAAATTATTTTTATACATCAACTTTAAATGATAAAAATAATCAGAATAATTTCTCCATTAAAAATTTAAATGTAACAGATTTCTGTAATAAATTTTCTCATGCAAAACCATCTTTGTATTCTTTAAATAAAACCGGACATATCTACATGTGGCTGTGTAGAGTTTCCTATATACTATTCAGGATGTTTGAATCAATGACTCTAATCTTTCCTCAGGTAGTCCTTGTCTAATTTTGATTCCAATGCTGGAAGTTTGGAATAGCTTTCTTTCTTTTTCTAAAATTACTTGCATTAATTATGTAAAGTAAGAATTAGGTTCTTGTAGGCTTGGTGAAACTTGAATAAAATTATGTGTGTGTATAGTGCTTATATAATGAGTACATATTTACCAACTGACTTAATTTCTGTAATGTTGTAAGTCTAATTAGTTTTTCAATTCCTGAGTCAATTTCACTAAATTTATGTTTTCTTTCATCTAATCTTATTGGTATGGGGTTTTTATATTATTCTTTACAATATTAAGTCTTTCTGTTTTCTCTATTTCTTCAAATGTTTGATTTGATATGTTTACACTCAATCAGATTTGCCTATTTTATACCAAAGCTGTCTATTTTTATTTATTCTTTCTGTTTTTTTCTTTTTATGCTTTAATAACTATCCAAAAAATCTTTTACCTGTGCCTTATTAGACTAAAATTTTACACTGTTTTAGTTTGCTAACTCTTTCTCATAGTATTGGCTTTCTCGAATGATTGGTTATGCTGGAGTATCTTCTTTCTTGAGATTCATGGATATACTCTCTCCTGTCCTAAACTGTAGAGCAGGTACAATTTCCACATAGTGGTTGGGAGATCTGAAAACTTGCACTGCAATACATGCATTTTAATTATTATTATTTTTATAACATGATTGTGGTGCTATTTAAGTTGGGCATATGTAACTTCATGTGTGGCTTTGCTGTGTGTCATAGAAATTAAATTTACAAAACTGGGACCACCAGTGGTAGTAACGTGGGATGGGACATGAAAAGAAGGAATGATACTTTGTGAGAGTCCATAGAGTAATTTTTTTCTTGTATCTTATTAGTCTCCTTAGGCTGATGTAATTAGTTATATAAGGGATTAAAGGTAAGATTTGAGACTAAGTTGTATAATTGATCAAGGTAGTGCCAATTAGGAAGGGGGAAAGTTAACGTAAGGAGTTATAACAAGTGGCATTGGTTAATTTTTGAGAAAACAGACTCAGACTGTGCTATATGAATGTAAATTGGTAAAGCTGTTAGGGACAATTTGGTGATGCGTATTAAATCCTGAAGTACATACATAGGCCAGGCAATTCTGGGGTTTAAATTGGTTTTAAAGAAATAATCAAATAAATGCCCAATCATGAGTATCTAAAAATACTTATCAAAGAATTATTAATATTAGCTAATAAAATCAAAAGGACCTAAAAGAACAATAGTAGGGAGTTCAGAATCTTCTCAAGAACATACATTGGAATTTGAGTTATTTAGAATATTGGTAGAATTTTACCAAATAAAAAAGTCCAATGCCTTATTTTGTTGTATAAATGCATCATAAAATACTCCACGTTTGAAAATTCAAATTTGAATTATATAAACAGTCTAAGATAACCTGCAAATAAGACAATTTTCCCCTTTTTTATTATTTTGCTGAGTGGGGATACATTGTGGCATTTACAAAGGTTCTTACAATGTATCAGATATATCATACTTGAATTCACCCCCTCCACTGTTCTCCTTTATCCTATCCCTTCTGCCATTCCTTGAATAGTTTCAACAGGTATCATTTTGCATTTACATAAATGTGTACACAGTATTTGCACCATATTTACCCTCCTACTCCCTTTCCCTGTTACCTCACTTCTCCCACTAGTATCTTACAACTGCTTTAACTTTTTTGTACTAGAAATTTTCTTGAACAAAGTTTGCAATATCTTTGAGGACTTTTAAGAAAATAGGTTGAAAAACAGTGCTAAGTAATTTGTGTTAGATCCATTCATGAAATAGTAAGAGACAATTAACAAAGAATTTAACAAGGCACATTTTTAAACAAAGTGTTTTATTACATATAATCATGTTACTAACTATATATGAATGTATTGTATGTTACATATGCATTATATATGTGTATATGTGTTTTATATGACATGTATCATATATTAAATGAAATAAAGCACATATACATTGATGCCATTTTGTAAAATATATTCTTATGACAAATTCACAGGAATATTCTGAAGGATGTGTATTGAAAGGTTAATGTGATAAAGGAATTTTGAGTGATTTTATTAGTTTATTAATTTTTTTCATTTTTAAAATTTTTTCACAAAGAGATGCTAGTTTATAGCAAGAACAAAATATTTTCTTTAAGAAAAAAATGGGGCCAGGCACGGTGGCTAACACCTAAAATCCTAGCTATTTGGGAGGTGGAGATTGAGAAGATTGCAGTTCCAGACCATCCCAGACAAAAAGTTAAAGATCCCATCTCAAGCAATAGCTGAGCATGGTGTCATGTGCCTGTCATCCCAGCTGTGTGAGCAGGGCAGATAGGAAGGAGGATTGCAGTTCAGGCGAGCCTGGGCTTAAATGTGAGTTCCGATTTGAAAAGTAACTAAAGTGAAAAGGGCTGGGGGCATGGCTTATGTGGAAGAGTGACTGCCTAACAAATGCAAGGCCACCAGTTCAAATCCCAGTACTGCCAAAAAAAAAAAAAAAAAAAAGATGTATTGGGAGTAATTTTCTTCAGGGGCCAAAATTTCATCATAAGAATTAAAAAAAATATTTTGAATAACAGGAACAGGACCATTAGTGGAATAATAAATATATAACATACTAAAGGAAAGAAAGTAAGTCTAGTAAATTATATTTATATGGACCATATCTTCATATGTCAAATTAAAAAAAATCTAAATAAGTGCTACATTGAACTGGGTGCTGGTGGCTCATGTGTGGGAGGTGGAGATTGGGAGGATCACACTTTGAGACCAGGATGGGCAAAAAGTTTGTCAGGCCTCATCTACCAATATCTGGGTGCAGAGGCATGTGCCTGTCACCCAAGCTACTGATGGAAGCATAGATAGGAGGGTCATGATCTAGCCAGCCCAGGTGAAAAGTAAGATCCTATCTCTAAAATTATCAGAGCAAAAAGCCTGGCAGGTGTGATGCTCCAAGTTTAAACCCCAGTTAACTGTCAAAAAATATCTGAACAAGTACCATGTTGATTATTTTTTCACTTCAATCATACTTGAATTATTAATTCCACATTCAAACTTGATGGTGAAAAGAAATGGATGTTCAAAAACATCCAACAGTTTATTTTGGTTTTGACTGAGCAGAAAAAAAATTTTCTTCTTGTTTAAGTTAACTTGTTCCACTAAAACAATGAAAACATTCTCACTAGTGTCACTTGCTTCCCCGTCTTGCTGACAAGCCTGGGTGAAGTTGCTTTTGTTCAGAGTGCACAGCCTGTGCTTTGAGTGCAATGGTGCGTTTTGCATGCTTGCTCACAACATGGTACTTTGATGCTATCCTTCTGTTCTCTTGGCCAAATCTTCCTCTTCCTTTCTTACTCCACAAGCTTATTTCATATAGGAGTCCTTTGAAGTCTAAGGCAAAACAAGAATTTGGATACGGGATTTTTTCACATCTGAGATCTGTTTTTAAGAACATTTGCTCTATTGGATTGTAATATACATGTGTGGAAGCCATGCTAGGAATCTCTCTGTATAGCTATCCTTATCTCAACTAGCAAAAGCGCTATGTCTTTCTTATTATTGCTTATGTCTTCTCTTCAACAAAATTGGAGAAGAGGGCAGAACAGGTTCTTCCTGGAAGCAAGGAGAGTGGGGAGAGAAAGAGGGAATGGGGGACAGGGGGAGAAATGGCCCAAACAATGTATGCACATATGAATAAATGAATAAAAAAAAGAATGTTTGCTCTATCCAGATGAGTTTTGCTAGGGACTACAAGTATTGTCAAGGAAAGCTCAGGTGAGTAGGTATCCCAGCTATGGGAAAATAACCTCAATCGATTCCCAAGTGATTTTCTGTGATGGAAGAATAGGAAGGAGAGATGGAGATACATACTATATCTATTTTGAAGTCTCTATACATATACATTATATGCATGCGGTGTAGTTCCCAAATATGTTCTCTGTAAAAGTAACAGAAGAAAAGCTATCCATAATGTCATAATTGTGATTGCTGAAGAAAACTCACATTCCTAAATAAGAGAAAACCTCTAGAATTGTGCATTCTTTGGAAAGATTCCTTATTTTTTTAAATTTCATTTTAAACTTTTCTATTAGCATATATTAGTTGTACAGGGGTTTTCACTGTGACATTTACATATATGTTTATCATGTATCTTAATTAGATTCATCCCCTCCATCATTATTCCTAATCTTCCCTTGTTAGTAAGTGAAGTATTAAGAGCAATGGTGTCTGCTGTTTCAGAAAAGGGAGATGGAAGGCGGGATGAACAGCTTCCTCTCCCCAAAGTAGTACATGTTTCAGAGAATTAGCAAAATTCCCAAAACATGTCCTTTTTGCAGTGACTGAAAAGCTCAGGTCCCTGAGGTGGTTACTCGGGCATATATTAACATGCTTTTCTAAGTGATTATTTTCTTTATAAAACTCCACATTTTAAGAGAATTGTGGGATGAAGCCATTTTAACTAGAATTTGTTCTAGAATCCTACAAATTACAAAGCTACTCCTCAATTTCATCTGTTTGTTGAACCAGGACATATCTAGTTTGCCTTAATAGTGAATAAAGTAAAAAAATGTATTAATTTTTGAAGAATGCCTTTATCAATGAAAAAAATTGCAAATAATTTTCATAAGCTCTTATATTATGTAAACAGAGGGACATTCAAAAGAGCTGACTATACTTTCTTTCTGCCAAGACACACACTTATAGATCAGCATCCCTTCTGCAAGTTCAGTAATTAATTCCAATTAAGCTCTTGGAAACCCTTTCTAAACAGATGAATTATATTTTAGAATATACTGTTTTAAAGTTATAAGCCAACTGATAGTTTTTTGTGTAAAATCCTTTTTTACTTTTTGAAATTTTTACTTATTTATTTATTTATTTATTTATTCATTTTTGTAGTACTGGCAGTTGAATCCAGGGCCTTGCTTATGCCAGACAAGTTCTCTACTACTTGAACTACACCCCCAGCAGGATTGTTTTTATTTCGTTGTTAAGATAGAGTCTCACTAACTTTGCCTGGGCTGGCTTTGAACTTGAGATTCTCCTACCTCTTTTTCCTAAATAGCTGGAATTATAGGCATGACCACCATGCCTGGTTCTGTGTACAATTCATAAGAATACAAATTAATTAATTATTATAGATGTGGACACCACACAGGTTAATATCTTTTGTTAATACTAGTATAAATATCTCTAGCACCTTAGAAGGCCCCCTTTTTCCCATCCCATGTCAGCCCCAAGGGTAACTATTATTATGACCCTTACTACTGTGAGTTAATTTTTCCTATACTTGAAGTTCATATAAATGGAAGTATAAGACCTGGGGATGTAATCCAGTGGTACAGTGTTTGACTAGTAGGCAAGAGGCCTTGGGTTCACTCACCATAGAAAAAAAAGGTACATTAAAAAATTATTTGAGGATTTAATATATATAGAAATACCAAAAGGAAAGGAGTGATCTGAGAAACAAGGCTAGTTATGTCTTATGCAGAGAAGGGGAAATTTTTTGAAAACCTAGAAAAACTAACTAAATAAATGTATCTCACATGCTTGAAATGCTTCTCCTTAGAGAAAATTAATGATTCAAGACAAATGGAATTACATATTATTTCCCCTTTTGTGGCTTTTTCCCCCTCTGAATATCAAACCTGTCAGATGCAGTTAAGTTGTTGTGTATAGAAATAAGTTGTTTTTTTTCATTACTATGCAGCATAAATATTCCACAATTTATCCATTTAGAGTTGGTGGACATTTGAGTTGGCATCTACCTGCTTTTTTGTGCATATCTTTTGGTGGAAAAAAGAACTCATCGTTGAGTATGTTCCCTGCTTCAGACTTGCTGGGTTTTAACATGCAGTATCAATTTTCAAAGTGGTTGCATCCACTTCACTCCTATCAGCTATATATAAGTTTCAATTGCTGCACACTTTTACTGTTGCTGTTTCTTTCCTGTTGCTTTCTTGTTAAAGCTCTGTTTTGTGTGTTTTGATGTATGATCACAGTTCAGTTTGCATTTCCTAATGATGAGTATGGAAGCACCTTCGTACGTGTTTATTGGGCATTGGGTCTTTTTTGATAGCTGAAATCTTCTAATATTCATTTTGGCCTTTTGTCCTTTATGATCTTCTAATATCATATTTTCTTTAACTGTTTTCAGGCTAAATCTAGATTTGCTGAATGGAGAAATCATCTCAAGATGGAGCTTATAATATCTCATACAGAACAAGTATTGGAACAGAAAATGTGGTCTGAATTTTACTTGGGTTTTTTTAAGTAGGGGGCTTAGACATAATTAAATTCACTATCTTTTGCTAATAATGATAAATACAAAAAGAAAACAACTTACTTTCCTTTCCCAATATCCTTATGGGAAAAATTTTGTCGGTTTATAAACCATTTCAGAGATGGTACATTACTTTTACTGTCATGGTTAAATGCACATTATTAAGATTGAAATGTGTTGCTTCCAGACATTAAGGGATCTCATCACTAAATGTATTCAGGCAGAAACTGATGACTATCTGTTAGAGAATAAGAATGAATTTTTTAATTTAAGTATATGTTATGCTAGTTTATACTGAGATTCTTTTGAACAATCTGGTCATTTTATTTTAGAATATGGGGGTCATTTTATGATACAAAATATTGGTCATGTGCCTTTTAAAGATGTCTTGATTTCTTTTGTCTCACTTAATCTTAATAACAACTTTGGATAATAAGCTATAAAATTTTTATTTCTATTTTAATGGACGAAGAAAGAGGAGTCTTGAAATTGTTCCATCTGGTCAGTTTACAAAGTAGCAGAGCCCGGAACAACATGCAAGACCCCTGGCATTGGTCTTGGTTCTCAGTTACTGCATCTTGGAAGCCAGATTAATAATCCCAGGAAACAGGTTTAGCAAATAGACATCCAGACACAGGCTCACCATTATATGTGAATAATACCCACACATGCATATCAATCTGAATGACTTCCAAGGGGTGAAATATACAGTGTTGATTTAGGTTCATACACAAACCTAGTGTCTGGTGAAAATTAGAAAGAAAGACTGCAATAGGTTTGTGTTTATGTGAGTATTTCAGGAGTTTGGAGAGAACCAAAATGATTGATAAAGAATTGAAAAGAACATCCTGTTATGGGAGAATGGTGAAAAAGTTAGTATTATTAGGTCAGTGATATATTCTAAGCATCCCATTGGCTGTGTATTGTGGCTGAGGTGACACAGAAGTTTTACTCTGTACTTGAAAAATTCTCAGCTCATACATACTCAGCTCATATATGACATTTTTCTAAGTTAAGTTACAGAGAATATAGTATCAGTGATGAGTCCATAACAGCATAAGAAAACAAAAGAGGAAAGAGTAAAGGAATACAGTTACTTATTATTTAACAAAAAATATTATCCTTACCCAGATTTTAAAATCAATTCCTTTGCATAAAAATCCCAAATCTTAAAGTATGAGTTTGGTAATGTAGGGATTTATTTGGGGCATTGTGTTTAATTGAAAATCTCAGTTTTCCCCATGAAACTCTTTGTGCTGTCTATATGTATTGAAAACCAGATGGAAAACCCTGTCCATTTTTTATTGTGTTCAGTGTGGCTGGTGTTTTATCACTTGCCAAGTCATGGCCACCTGTGGCTCTGTCTTGGCAGCTCTGTGTTTAACAGGCCAGACATTATGTTCACAGGAAAGGCCTCCTGAAGCATAACTAAAAAGCAAATAACTCACATGACCAGTGTTCTGATAATAAGGACTTGCTGAATACATAATTTGACGTGTTTTGCTTTGAGCTGACACACTATCCAATGCTTTTGTTGGCATCACTGCCAAAGACTTTTGCACACAAACAGTTGCAAGTCATTTGATTTTCCACACAGGAAACCCAGCACAGAACAGTCAGTCCTCTAAAGATATATCTTCTCTTTTCCTATGGTTTACATTCTATTAAACTCTAGCCATTAACAGATTAGTGGACCAATAACTGGGGCCTGGAACTCTTCAGGAGTGTAATACTCATAGTTCTAAGGCTTTCCTGACTTAAGTTCAAAGGCCTTTCATGATCTCTTATGGTGCAAGATGTACCTAGATGACTTAGAAAATAATCTGACCAAAAAGTGCAGAAGCAGTAAATAAGATGTATGATTATCTCTTCCAGATTCTAAATCAGATCCTTTTTCATCTATTTTTATGAGTCAGAAATGTCTATCTTTAAGTCACTTCTTCTTCATTTTGAATTCTAAATATGGACTGAATCCAGAAGAATCCTATTTTTTAACCATGAGCAAAACTATTAAGTTCAATTGTCCTCACTTGTAAAATGGTTGACGAGTTGACCGTCTCTCTCAGTGGTTCTTAGTCTGATTTGCACATGGTTTTCACCCAAAAGCTTCAGGAAATGCTTATACCTAAATTCCTAACTTTAGAGATATTGATTAATGGTGCAGTCTGGCACAAAGTCTGAGTAGTATCATGTAAGAACCTGGTTGCACTGTAAAATCACCCAGGAAGCTTTTAAAAAAATCTATGCCTAGTCTATAAAATTTCCAGAAAATTTCAGGAAATTGATTTTGATTTCAGGTGATTGATTTTCAAGTCTAAGACTGAGAATATCTGATTCAAACCTGTCACTTGGCAAAAAGTATTGAGGATATATGTGGATATGTTGGTGCTACACAGTGTATGCATGCAAGATAGCTCATACCATCTTGACTGACTGCATTTTGCAGTCCTGTATAACTCTGAGTGAACTTGGTCATTAATCCATTTACTTGGAAAATATGTATGAACACTCACTATGTTCTGTGTTCTTTACTAAGTTCTTAGCACCATGTTCATAATTCTAACATTTATACTAAAAGGTTTCTTGAACTCAAAAAATTAGAAAAATGCCAATACTTCATATTATGGCATAAAACTAAAAGTTCACTCCTAGACTGAGAAGTTAATAAATATCCCTCATTTAAAAACTGACATGTAATATGCATAAACAACAATAAAAATTGTACATAATCTTTGACTTAGTAATTCTACTCTGAGCAATTTATCTTAAGGATAAGGTACACACAGGTATTTATATAGGGATATTCATCATATTTTTTAAAAGTAGACTCAAACTTCATAAAATTTACACTATAAATTATAGTTGTATGATGGAATATTATGTAGTTCTCATAATTTTAAATCTATAATTATTGACATATACATATGCTCATGCTAATAATGTCTGGTGGAATGTTTAGCAAAAAGATAACTACTTTCCATTATGGTGGGATTCAGAATGATTTTAATTTTAAAATATTTCCATTACTTATTTGTTTTTATAATTATTCTGCTATGTATTACTTATATTAAATTTCTTAAAATGCCTATATGAAACAAAAATCAGCTAAATACTATAACCAGTCTAGTTCTATTAAGCATCTATTTGTTACTTATGTTTTTGGTTTTGAGACAGGGACCCATTATGTAGCCCAAGCTGGTCTCAAACTCTTGATTTTCTGGCCTCTACCTCCCAGGGGCATGGGCTAGGATTACAGATGTGTGCAATTATGCCTAGTTTCATGCTTTTTTGTTTTAATAAGTCATAAAAATCTTACTAATTATTCCATGCTTTTTCTGGGATAACCCAGGAAAACAGTGAGGTAGCTGGTACTTTTAGAGATAATGAGAGAAGGAAAATATTTATGATTCCAATATTTAATTTATATGATTTAAAAATGACTCTAAAAACAAAGAAGGGTTATGTTAAGAAAAATGGTCCCTGAAAGATATCCATCACATGGCAAAGGGAATTAAGGTAGCAGATGGAGTTAAGGTTACCAGTCAGCTGAGCTTGATTTGAAGAGATTAGTTTGGATCTCCCAAGGGTGCCCAATATATTCACACACATATTACTGGTGAAGGATGGAGGCAGAAAAGTCAGAGTGAAAAGCAGATACCTTAAAGCAACTGAGGCCAATAGGAAAAGGGGAACAGGTACTAGAGAAAAGGTTAGATCAAAAAGAATTAACCTAGAAGGTAACACCCACACACAGGAAATCAATGTGAGTCAATGCCCTGTATAGCTATCCTTATCTCAACCAGCAAAAACCCTTGTTCCTTCCTATTATTGCTTATACTCTCTCTACAACAAAATTAGAAATAAGGGCAAAATAGTTTCTTCTGGGTATTGGGGGGGGAGAGAGAGGGGGCGGAGTGGGTGGTAAGGGAGGGGGTGGGGGCAGGGGGGAGAAATGAACCAAGCCTTGTATGCACATATGAATAATAAAAGAAAAATGAAAAAAAAAAAAAAAAAGAAAAGTCAGAGTGAGTCAGTATGAGAGCCTTGACTGGCAGTTACTGGCTTAGAAGAAGGAGGAAGAAGTCACAGACTAAACAAGGCTTCAGAAGCTTGAAAAGTCAACAAATAATTTTTAAGAGCATACAGAAGAAATTCAGCCCTGCTGTCATCTTGACTTTAGGCCAATGAGACCTATTTTACATTTATGACCTTCAGGATAGTAAAATAATACATTTGTCTTGTTTTACACCATTAGGTTTATGACTATTTGTTACAGCAGCAATAGGAAACTGATGCAAACACTTCATGCCATGTGATGTGACACTGAATATTCCTGAAGTGCTCCAACTTTGGTTTGTGAGAAAATGCCTTCCTTATCCCCTTCTCTACCTTCTTCCCCAACCCTAAAGTTCTCACTGCCATATTTCACGTTTGCTGCCAAAGACAGGGAATTGGGGCAAAGGTGAAGCAACTTCAGTTTTCATATGAACCCTGGAGAATTGTGAAAGAACAGAGTAAATGCTATGATGTCCTAAACTGGCAAAGGATAGAAACGAATGCAGGGGCTTTGACTTAAAAAATTCAAATATTTAGCAGCCAAAAATTCTATTTTTATAAATGAGGAAAGGAAGGGTATAAGTAGGCATTGATATAAGCATAAAAACTTTTAGTAATTTAGGGTAAGGAAATTATCTTCATTATTATTTAAGGACAGGAAAAAGTCTTCTTGATGATATTAGGAACTAAGCGTTTTGTTTTGTTGTGGTTCGTTTGCCTGGTTACTTTTTCCATTGTTGAATCATTAGAAGTATAATTAGAGAAAAGTAGCAGTAAGGTTATATTAAGGAAATGACAAGATTAGGGATGTTAATTTAACCCTGGAGCTTGTAACTAAAACAGTGGACATTAGTATATAACTCCTAAGGAAGACCTAGATGGAGGATTCAGAATGTGGAGAAGATGTGGTAACCAGTCAGAAACAGAAAATAAAAGTTGAGCATTAACTGCTAATTTTTAAATTTATCATTCTTTCTGAGGTAGAAAACTATCAAACCACCAAATACAGAAAAGAAACTTTTACATAATGATAAAGACATGGTATATATGGGACAGATGTAAATTGTTCTGTTTATTATCAAATTAATTACTTCCTATTAATTTGAGACCAATATTCCCAGGAGTTTTTGCTTTTGTGTTTTCCTCTACATTATTGAAGAAGAGATGGAGAGGAGTGAGGGTCATGGGTGGGAGCCTGGAGATGGCGAGGGCAGGGGGAAGTTGAAGAAAAGGAGGCAGAAGAATATAGAAATAAGTTTGGTGACAATTTCTTCATGAACAAACTTTGAGGATAATACATGAGCTATAATGGGCTATATCCCATTTTATCATAAAACATTATCATAAAGGACACTTTATCATAAGCACTGCCATACTAGACTTTAAGATATTGAATTATTTGTTAAATATCCTCAAGTACATGTAAAACAAACATGAGTTTTGAAGACAAAAATATTCATGCTCTAAATGAAGTCTGAATTATTTAGACAAAAAAACACATCAACTTCACACTTAGCTAATCATTTGATGTGACAAAATTTCCAAGAGATATCATAGCAACTCTTTGGCCTTTGAGTGAGTTTCTGGCACCTGACTTTATGTAGGCATATCACAGCCTGCAGTTAGATGGGTGTAGAGTCCAATACACACCTTGTCCCTAAAATCTATTTGCTATTCCTCTCTGGGCTTCAGTATTTTGCCTATGAAATGTTACTATGGTGACAATTACAAATAAGAATACTATTAGTAAAACCATACACTTGTAAGATGCTTTATTGTATGCCTTACGCTTTACTTACGTTAATTTGTTTTAACCTGATAACAATCCTGTAAGATACATTTTATTGTACCTTACTTTACATATGAGGCACTGAGGTGCACAGAGTTTAAGTTGCCAAATATAATATTTTTAGAGAATGGAAGAGCTGGACTATGAACATAGGATGATGCCTACAAAGCAGTCTTCTCTCTGTTGGGACAACCAGTATGTCTTCACACATTGCCATGTATCTCTGGGGGATGGAAAACTACTCTTCATTTAAGAACCATTGCTCTAAAACAAGAAAAATCAGGTGTGCAGATTACTTGTTATATTACAACGCTAGTTGTTTGAATGCAAGTTGGTTATAGAAAATTAGTTTTAAATATACCTACCCTGAAAAATCATATCCTTGCTATAGTCTTTGAATATACATTTTCTTATCTGCTATATCTTTTATACTTTGAGGAAGGAAGTAAAATTAGAAAGACCTGGAAAATGTACCTTTTGCCTTAAATATAGATGAAGGAGTTGAGAAATAAATGTAAAGGTATCCATTTATGTTATTAGGTTAGCAGCTCATTTTTCACATTTGCTCTTGGAAGATGTGACTTCTTTGTATAAAACAATGGCTAACAAAGTCATTGGAGGTCTCAGGAATTAGTAACTCAGTGAGCTCTTGATACAGTTTGGGAATTAAACAAGGGCTCTGTGCGTTACAGTTATACATTCATTTAGGGAGTAGCCATGGAGTTATGGAGAGAGTAAGAATCTCTAGGTCCAGCTGGGAATGGCCTATGTTAGAGACTCTGTCCCCATTGTTTAAGTTCCATTTCACCACTGCACCTGGGTTAACTGGGAAAGGAGAGTGATCAGGTACACAATCCAAAGTACTTCTTCCTGGTTCAAATTTAGGAGTGTGTTTTTATGTAGACATAATAGTCTTTTGAAAATTATTGGCAAAACCCTTCTCTCTTTCAATGACTAAAAACTGATGTTTCAGTAGGAAGTTCTCTTTATTAAAAATCACACAAGAATTTGGATGACAGGAAAGGTAGTTCAAATTCATGGAATAACAATGAAAACCCTAGAATAGTTAGCAGAGAAATGATTGTCTCACAAAATTTTACTGAGATAATATAGAAAATTATATCTACATTTGTAGATTAATCTATCTGTCTATCTCTGTGATTCTATACTACCATCTACCCAGCTCTTTATCTAGCATAAAAATGCAAAGCACTTATTAGAACCTGACACACATAAAGAACTCAGCATGAATTAATTGCTATTTTTATTATGTATCACTTCCTGACTAGTTATGATAAGGATTTTGAGATGGTTAGTTTGAGGAAGATTGTGAATCAGCAAAACTTGAATTTGAGCAACTGCAATTTAATTTGAGTATCTAAAAGGGAGTAAGATTTTAAAAGGCATCTTTGAAGCATACAAGAAACAAAACAAAAGGTGCACAAAATAAAAAAAGATAAAATAAAGACAGAACTGAATGCAGTAACTGGTACATAATTAAGGTCATTTGGGGTAGAGATGAGAAAAGGGTTAAGTACTGAAACCCTAGAAAAACAGTGAGCAAATAAGCAAATAGTAAGAGAATGAAGAGAGAGGAATTTTGGAAAGGAGTCATAAGACCATCCTTCATAATTTTATACATTGATCACAAGGGCAAAAATTCCCTTAAAATTTATCCAATTCTGAAAGGAAAGTAATTGAACATTGTTTTAGTCAGCTTTAGTTTTGACTAGGTTTCTTTGAAATCGACCCGTTGAAAATTTTGAATGACCTTCCATCAAAGCTAAATCATTGTGAACAAAGGATTTCTGGGCAGTAAAATAGTTGAGGGGATTACTGGTTTGGTTTATTAGTTCTGCCTGGACTTAATGAGCTCGTGTTCTTTGGGCCGGGTTAGTGAGGTCAGTGAGTTTCATTCCTGAGGAAAATCTATAAGCCAGCAGAGCACTAACACTCAGGCCTAAAACACCACATGGGTTTGTAGGACTTTAAATGCCAACCAGCACAGTGTGCTCAAGCAGAAATGGAAGATTCCAAAGGCTGAAGCCTTACATAAAGTCTTTATTGTCAGGAAGTAATATATTATGAAATGTCATTCTTTAATTTACAAATGAGAAAACTGTAGAGCAAATTTTAATTAAGTGTTCCTCAAATAACATATATTTCAATAGTGTTCATATCCATTAAAAGAGGTTCAATTTCACTTAATCTCCTAAAGGGCCTTTAAAAAGAACATATACTAATTCTCTCTTTAAAATAATGTTCCTAATCAATAATATTGTCACTATGAAATAAACTTACTATAAAATAGAAAAATTTGTGCCCCATGCAAATGAAACTTTCATAAAATTTAAAAACATGATATATTTTTAAATTGTATATTTTGTGACTATATATAATGTGTGAGGATATAGTACAGGTGAAGAGACTTTGAAGTTTGTGTGTGCTACACAGTTCATTAATGAAAGTTTCGCTGTGTAATTACACAAATATGGAAAAAATTTCTGTATACATTGTATTCTTTAATTTGTTATGCTTGTATATTTGTAGTATTTTCACAATAATGGGCAATGAACACAGAGTTATTTCCTATTGCATAGATACTATTCAGGGAGGGTATACTTTTAATCAGTTCAGAGCTGTTTCACTATGTAAATGGATGTAGAGATGCCTGGTAACAAACCCAATAGTTGTGAGAGTATTGTAGGATTATGGCTCCATTTAGAAATAGTGCCAACTTTTCAATTTAGAAAGCTCTAGGATTTACTGTTTAAAATCCTTTTACAGTTCCACGGGTGTGGCTCAGGTGGTTGAGTACCTACCTGCCTAACAAGCACCATGCCCTGAGTTAAAACCTCAGTACTCCACAAACACACACACAGAGACACACTCACACACACACACACACACACACTCAAATCATTTTACAGAAATGTCTTCCAAATCAATAAACTTAGTAATAGCCAAAGAGTTGATTGGCTTTCTGTACCTTCATTGACCCAGATACCAGAACCAAAATTTCACTGGCTATAACTCACCTTAGTCCAGCTTTATAGTAGAGCTTCTTACTGTAAAAATGAATGAAGACTTCTAAGTAGGAAAAATAGCAAATAAAACTTGTTTTGTTTATTTAAAATGCTTTATCAAAGTCTTCAGAGAGGTAGTTGGAGCATGGGACAATCTTATCTGAAAAGTGAAACAATGTGCTCTCTCAGGTCTTGCTGCACGCTGTCTTCAAGTCTGCGTCAGAGTCCCTGGTGTGGAGGGCATCTTCTCAACCTACTCATTCCTCTGGGATTTGAAAACCACATCTGGATAAGATAGGTCTCCAGAAATTCCTTCAAGTCAGCGAAGATAAACATCAACCATCATCTGAACGTGCATGGGTATGTGAACACTCAGATACTTATTATAGACCTTTTAGTTGAGGTCTCACATGAAACAAAGTTCAGAGACCATTTTGAAATAGGCCTACTATAGTCAAGAAGTCCTTTCTTTATACAAAATCAATATGGATTTTTGCCTATTATGCTCTTGTCCAATGAATACTATGTTTATCTTTTGATGAATATAAAGTGACTCGTAATAGACATAATTCCTAACTTCTTTATCTTCTTTATATAAATACTTGCTTATTTTGTTGATAGAAATGGCCAAGTTAATAGAATGAGAATTTCTTGAAAGAAGCAGTTCCATTATCCATCAGCAACATCTTGTTAATGGATTGACTTCTTAGATTAATTCTCTATTGCTTACTCAATCTACAAACATTTTAATAGTCTGTCCACAGGGACTTGACATTTTTTGCTTATATAAAATATAATATGTTCTATTACATATATTATATATAATCCAAATATATAAATTTTAGATATATTTAATATAGGTACATTAATATATAAAATATTAACATCAAATATATATTTGGTATACACTATAATCATTATTTAAATCAATCTGTGTAAGTCACTTATATAAATTACATTTGGATAAATTATGTACATTGAGAAAAAAGGTTATGGTAGTAAATATACCAACCTAGAAATAATCTATATCTTGAGAGATAGAAGTGGGATTATAAATTGAATCTGCACTTTTTATACTTATATTTTGTTTGCTTATTTTATAATGAGTGTATGTTACTTCTGTGATTAAATAAAATATATTGATAAAGATTATGTTTACAGAGTATTTAACTGCAATGCACAGTACTTACAACATTTTTGCTGAATTAATGAATTGTTCTGCACACTTGTTGGTAAAGGAGAGATGACAAGGGAAGTGGCAGAGTTTGAAGTTACTCTGTGAGAGAGAAGTCAAGGTGAAACAACAGACTCATCTCCGCCACGGTCAGTCAGTATCTACCAGCTTACAGGACCGAACAACACAGTGCAAAGTGTACCAGGGACTGTGAAGGGCGAAGGGGTGGAAGGTCTGAAAACAGAGACCTAGAAAATGCTGAGAGGGATTTTAAGAGGTGTCGTTTCCTTTTCTTATACTGCTTCTTATCATTATTTGAGGGAATTGCATCAGTGTATGGAATAAACTTCTTTTTCTAGTATATGTTTGAGTCATGGATGATTTTCAAGTGAAATTATTTTGTCTTTTCAAATATCTTGCTGTTCACTGTACTGTCTCTTTTCTCTGTTGAAATAATTCACGCTTCCTCCCATTTCTCAAAGCACTCAGCTCCCCAACACAGGCACATGAACAGACATGTGAGAAAGTGACACATAGCAAAACTACAACTGAAAACAAATTATTTCTTGCATCACTTAATAAAGTACTGGATACGGTAAATATCTTAAAGTCATCTTCCACCGCTCCTCCTCTGATGAGACAGGAAAGCACTCTTAGCTTCATTTTGGAGAGTGAAGAAAATGACCACACATTCTACAGGAAGTGCCAATGCTCAGATTACATTTTAGATAGTCAACAGCACAAGCCATCAATGTCTGACTCACCTCCAACAAACATGTATTAAGAGCTCATTCACAGTTCCAAGCAGTGTTTTGTGCTGTGGGGGTGAGATGGGAGGGATATTAGATTTCTATCATTATTGTGACAAATTACCACATAGTGGCTGAAAACACAAATTTATTATCTTATACTTCTCCGTGTTTAGAAAGTGTGAAGTTAGTTTTACTGAGCTAAAGTCAAGGTGTTTGCAGGGCTGGCTCCTTCTGGAGTCTCTGAAGTAAAATCTACTTCCAGCTTCAAGAGGTTGCCTGCATGCGCTGATTTGTGGCCCCTTCCGTGCATCACTTTCTTGCACCTCTGTTTCCATTCCACATCTCTTCCTATTAACTTTGTCTTTTAGGAAGAGTTCGTAATTTCATTGGGTACACTCGGATAATCCAGAAGGGTTTTTCCATCTCAGGAGTCTTATATTCATCCTCAGAGTCCTCTTTTGTCATGTGAAGTAGTATTCATAGGTTCTGGGGATCAGGATGTGGTTATCCTGGGGTTCCGTCATTCTGTCTAGTATGGAAATACAGCTATAATAACAATAATTATTATAATATAGAAGCTGGAGAGCTTATTTTACACAAGACTTTATTTTATGCAGAAACATTATTTTCTCCTTGCTTACCTGCACAGTTTAGCTACCATTTGAATTGACATTTTACCAGTAAGACAGATTGGCTAAGTTACATGACCTGCCCATAATTACAAAGTTCTTGAAATAACTTAAGTGATCTCAATGGCAATTGAATAATTCAGATCTGTTTATTTCTAGATTCTTTAGGCTTCAGTATTAGGGTGGAACTGCAGAGATGAGTAAGATATACTATAGTAATAACCATCATAAGGTTATAAGCCTCTTAAGTGAGAATCTTAGTTTGCTTAATTACAAAAGCTTCCTTTTTTTTAGGGACTATAAGCTAAGAACAGGAACCCTACCCAATTCTCTGGGTGTATTTCATTTTATTTTCTCCCCATATTTTATTTGTGCATGCTCTCTCTCTCATTCTCTCTCTGCAGAGAATGGGGTTTGAACTCAGGGGCTCATGCTTGCTAGGCAAGTATGCTCTACCATTTGAGTCACTCCATCAGCCCTTTTCTTCTGTTTTGGGTATTTTTGAGATAAGGTCTTGCTTTTTGCCTGGACTGGCCTCAAACTGTGATCCTCCTGATCTCTGCCTACTGAATAGCAAGGATTACAGTAGTGAGCTACTAGTGCCTGGCCCTGCTCATTCTCCTTCATTGCTTCTGTAGATTTCTCATTCTACCCTCTACTCCCCATTTCCTCCATTCAAATGGTAAGTGCCTACTAAGATGACTTAACTCCAGATGTGGCACTCTAACCTGAATACCCCTTCCTGCTCAGGAATCCACTACTGGGTCTGTTGGTTGGAGTAAGGGTGCCTTTCCTTATAATACTGTACCAACTCTTATCTGCATATTTGTCAATTGAGGTGGCGGTATGATCTTCCTTAGACAAAGTGAGTCTCATGACCTAGAAAAATATTGCAAAATATTTAAAATTGACAGAGTCCTAAGATTTCTGAGGAGATCCTTGTATAGGATATTTTCATTCTTACTTCATTATCCTTGTCACCTCACTTACCCCAAATAAAGGCCAGGATGTTCTATAAGGCAGTATTTTATTAACATTTAGGAGTTATAATAGAGAACAGATTGTACTCTCTAGTATGAAGAGCAAGAAATATGAGTAATATATGTAAACTTTAAAAAGAGTTCTGTGAATACTGGATATTTCCTTTTTCTTTTTTAAAAATTTTATTGTTCTGGGCAGGGGTACAAAGGTTCTTATAATATTGGACATTTCCTTTTCTGTTTGAGGCTCCCTTATTCCTTTTCATCCAGGTTCACATAAAACACTCATTTTTACCATTTGGAAAAAATTTAGCTCTGAATCTCAAATTTTTCCAAACTAGACTGTATCTCATTTTCCTACCTAAAAGCCCATTAATATTCTAAATATCCAGCACCATTAAACCTTGAGGCTCCTACTTTGATAAACTTATATGGCTTCCCCTGCATGAAGAAACATCAGCAGGCATGTTTTCTTCACACAGCATAGACAAAATTTAAAAATGATATGTAATTAAAAAACTCAGAAACATTGCTAAACATTTTGAATATTTTATTCCTATTTTTCATATCCTTTGCTTTCCCTTATTTTTCCTTTATTTCCTCTCCTCTTTTCTATTTTATAATTGGGTTCATAGTATCTACTCAGTTTTGTGTGCCTGTGTTAAGAATTTTTACCCATGTCATTAATTTTTCTTCAAAAGTGTGATTGAAAAATAGAGGCATAATACTCAGTTGTATGAATGCATTATATTTTTAAGCAGTGTTCTAATATGAAACACTTAGTTGTTGCTAGTCTACTATAAATACGTAAACATTCTTATAATTAAATACTTGTGAATTCTTCTGATTGGTTCTTTGGGATAAATTTCTGGATTTGGAACTATATGCTCTTTGCATATTAATGTGCTCTTTAGAAATTTTGTATTTATATAAACGTCCATAGGTTATAATTATTTTAAGAGTTAAGGTAATGCTATATGGTGGCATTCTGCTTTCCAAGAAAAAATTGCCTTTTTTTTTCTCTTTTGGCAGTGCTGGGGTTAGAACTCAGGTTCTTGTGCTTGGTATGCAGGCACTCTACCACTTGAGCCACACCCCTAATCAAAAAAGGCTGCTGTCTTTGTTTCTTTGTAGCAACTGCTCTTATGATATTCATGATTATGATTGTACATTAATCTAGGTCTAGCAATCCGTTTGGGGAGGGCCTGTGCGTTATGCAATGAGAGATTAATTTTTGCTTCTGTTTTTCCTAAGAAAATGAAAGAAATATTTTTAATGTTCACATGAAACATAAATCACACATGGTCATTTGCACATAATACTGTTTAAGTCAATGATGAATTGCATATATGACAATGATCCCACAGAACACGATGGGGCCAAGAACTTCCTATCGCTGGGAGATGTAGCTATACATCATCCTACAAGTGTTTGTGGCAACGCTGGTGTAAACAAACCTCCTCGGCTGCCAGTGGTATAAAAGTACATGCAATAGTGTACACAAAAATACTTGATAATGAGAAATGACTTTTATTGATTTATGCATTTACTTTACTGTACTTTAAATCATTGTTGTAGAGAGTATTTATTTAAAAGAAATGCCTGCACTGTAAAACAGAGTGCTGTGTTATGCCAGCAGTCGCTTCATACATTTCCTGTTTACTCTGGCCATGTCACTGACTGATCTGTACCATCTAGACTTGTGTAAGTGCACTCTATAATGTTGAAACAATGATGAAATCACCTAGTGACACATTTCTCAGAAAGTATCCCCTTTGTTAGCCAATGTTTCACTGTGCATGTGTCATATACACACGCACAGAAC